AAAATACAAATTATAAGAAAAAGAAAATGTGAGATAAAGTAAAGAAAAGAAAGAAAGACATAGAAAATAGATAGCTTCCAATCTATCTCTGGTCTTAAGAATAGTAAGAATGTCATAGGTGCTAGTTTTTAATGCATTTGTTATAACCATTATTTTCAACTTCCTCTTATATACAGGCTGTCCTGAGACCCAGCTTACAGCCATTGCTTCCTTCACCACCATTGAATCAAGCCAATAAGCTTTATGTGGTAAAGAATGATTTGGGGACATTTCCCCAGCAAATGTTCTTGTCAACAAGCCCACCAACTGAGAGAGTTTCCACAGAGTATTCCGAAGCAGTTGTAGGGGAAAAGGAAGGAATCATCCCCAACCCTCTGAAAATTCATAACACAGTAAATGCCAGTGAGAAGGGAAAGACGGGCCTTCACCTTGATTATATTGGTATGGAATTCAGCCACAAAGCCATGCAGAAGCGTTCAGTGAATCTGCCTGTGAGAGCAGTCCATCCCCAGAAGGAGTTGTCCAAAAGCTCAGGAAGCAAAGGAGAATCACCAGTATGTTGTTCTCAAGATTCAGTCGAGCAAAGTCAGTGGTACCTCAGGCAATAAGCCCGTCCTCAGAAAGTATATCCAAATGTGAGCAGAATCTTCTTACTAGTAGATGAAGGGAATGTAATTAGAATTAATATTGGCGTAAGTAACAATTGTTTGATAGATTCTAATCAGGCAATCTTATTGAAATTATTGATTTATTTCAAGTTACATTGCATATGTCATTGGGAAGGGCCTAATTATAATTACAAATACAGCTGAGCTTAAGTTCTGCCACACAAATATATTACTTTCTACCATGGGAATTTAATTATTTTTAAACCCAATGATTTATATCTGGAGGGATGGTTGTGAGCTATTGAAGGTACAGTTTAAAAGCTTAGGTGCCATCTCATTCCATCCTTATGTAGATCTTTTTTTTTTCCTAGTCTAAATTGTACCCAACTTTTCTCACAATTCAGTTCTATTTGTAGCAATGGATTTATACATATTTTCAAATTGTGTTAGTCAAGTACAGTAGTCAAAGCTTGAACAATTTCTTCAACTAACATTACAGTATAATCTGAAGTCTAAGGGCTGTATTCCTTTTGATGTCCTAAAGTTATATAAGGGTAAATGGATGCTACAACAGAAATTAATCAATATATCAAATATGGATATTGATGTTATTTGTTATGAACCATATTATGTCTTTTTTGGTTAAGCTTATCAATTGTTTGTTCCTGAAGGTCTCTGGATGTGAATAAAGTCACCAAGAAGTTAGTATTTACCTATCAAACAGAGTGCATGCTGTTCTGTATTTAAACTTTAAGATCAATCTGGTCTACAAACTGCATATATACACAAAACTCGTGTCATATGATCCATGTGAACATACACTGCAAATAGCACACTTAACAATTTAACATGCTGTTACCCTATCTGCCAACAGATGCAAATGTTTTTGGTAATTTATCAAGTTTAAGTTGATGTTGAACCTGAAGTAGGTTTTCCAGGTCGTTAATAAGATTGCTTGTGTCAGTATAAAAGTTTCAAGAACAGTAAACATAACATGACTTAACTCTAACAACACAGAGCAGTTTTGTGTTTTTAGCCTTCCAGGGCCGGGTGATGTGTCATCTTTGATTCTCAGCAGGGTTGCACTTCCCTGGACACAGTCAGTGCACAATTTGGGGGTTCTCCCAGACTCTCAGCTCTTGCTCAAGGAGCAAGTGGCAGCCATGGCCAAGGGGGCCTTTGCACAGATTCATCTTGTGTGACAATTGCACCCACTGCTGGACAGAGACCTTGCTCATGGTTACTCATGCCTTAGTTACTTCTCAGTTGTACTATTGCAATGTGCTCTATATTGGGCTGCCCTTGAAGACCACTCAGAAGTTACAACCAGTCCAGAATGCAGCAGTATGCAGAGTGTTGGGCACTCGTCAATTTGTCCATATTACACTGTTGCGCAATCTGCAATGGCTCCCAGTTTCTTTCTGGGTGAAATTCAAGGTGCCAGTTATCACCTTTAAAGCCCCACATGGCAGGGGGGCAGGTTATTTGCAGGATCGCCTCTCCCTGAGGTTATTGGCTTGTCCCACCAGGTTGGATAGACTGGGCACACTCCAGGTCCCTTCCCTTGAATGTTACCATCTAGTGGGATGTAGGAAGTGTAACTTTTCCATAGCAGCCATGGAACACTCATCCCCCGCTCCTGCCTCATCCCCTGGATCCGTAGGACCTCAGCTCTTTAGTCTTCCTCCAGGCATTAGGATAGGGGGAGGTGGGAACCTGTGGATGGTTTTGCTGGATGCATTCAAGGATGGTGGAGGTGTCAGGTTTTTGGTTTTATAGTTGTTTTCTGGTTTTTGTTGTTGTTGTGAACCACCCAGAGTTGTGTTGTAAGATGGGCAGCCATACAAATTGTTTAAATAAAGCAAAATAATCTTTACAGCAGGCATAACACTTAGCTAGTATAGCTATTGTCTGAAGATTTCTTTTTAACCTGAGACTCGCAAGACTGGAGTTTGCTTGATAGCAGAATGTGTGATAATGCAGTGGAAATACCCTTCATGCTTTCTAGTTTAACCTCCCATTGCGTTATGATTTTATCTTTGATGGTACTGTGGAATGAATTACTTCTAAATTATTTACATTGCTAGAATATCTTTGAAAGATGCAAGGCTTGTTCAGTTGTTTTAACATTTCAAAGTTCTATAAGGATCTGAACTATCTTCTATTCCCAGAGCCTTGTCAGCAAAGTTTAGCAAAGTTAGCTCCTTTGGTGCCTGTGCAGATGGTGGCTCTTCCCATATTCATGCAAGATGCTATGGTGGAGAGCAGGGTCGTCATACCCACCCATTGTAGATCCCTTGCATCCCCACATATGTCATTTCTGCATCTGACATTAAAGACAGATTATTCTACAACCTCTATCTACACATTTGTTAAATGTTACTGCATGAGCAGAAAGATAGGCTGTTTCCTTGCTATCAATTCCTTTGAAATAAAAGCGAAAAAAATATGTAAATTAAACTTGAGAATTTATCTGTATCTTTTTAACCGATAGCATCATAATACACAGATTTTGTCCTGTTGAAATAAATTGTACATTTTGTCTTACTTTTGCAATTGTTTCCAGGGGGGCACTCCTTCTCTTATTCTTTGCTCTGCATCTTCCTGCCCCCACATTCCCCTCCCATTGCAACCATACTGTTCAGACTCTACAAGAGGGCTCCTTGAGCCCCAGGAAAGACCTTAGGGCTGGGGAGAGGAAAAAATCATGCAAACATCAGCTACAGTATTCTTCAGTTTGGTGCAGTATTTTATATAAGGAAATGTTTGCGTATTCCCGTAGAACTACATGGAACCAGAACAAAAAGTGTATCAATGCTCTGATGCAATTTAAGCAGGGAAGGAGAATTTTATTATAGATTTTCATGATCTTAACTTATTCAGCTACATTAACTAATTTTAAATTGATCCCAATCAGGAACTCACTAGACCAATTCTCACCTCAGCCTCCATTTGTAAGCTAAAGTAACAGCATCTTTGACAATATATGTGAAATACTTGGAACATATGAAATAAGCTATATGAATATAAAGTACTGAGCATCACTTTATACCGAAAAGTTACAAACTTTTAATATATACCTGTTCAGTATTCCATTTTTTAACCTGCTCTGCTATGTACCAATGCAAACCAAAGTATCTGCATAACAAAACGCAGCTGTCCCGGTAAATGATAATCAAGTCCTAGGCATTCCTTTAAAAAGTAAATCAAAACTACTTCCCTCTAAAATACTTAAATTTATTAGTGATGGTACCAAAGATAGCAAGTATACAATCTTTGCTCTATGCTACTTACACATCATAAATATGACAACTGTTGTTCCAAGACACAATCTTTCACAGTCCTTCAAGAAGCATGAGATTTGTCATTGCTTTATCAGAATAAGCTGTTTGCTAGCCAACTTCATGTGGCATAAACATCACAAAATTACTGTCCATACTTTACATGGTAAAGCATTCACTAAAGTTTTTTGAAGAAAAAAACTTTAGACTGTAACAAAAAAACAAACAAAACAAAAAACAAAAAAACCCCAACAATGAGCTACTAAAGCAGTGTCACAATCTAGGGGCTCTATTACCTTGCAGCTTTCATTTTTTCATAAATACTCCCATGTCTATCAACTGAAATATTGAGAACACAAATTGAAAGCTATATGCTCATTTGGCTTTCCATACCTCTCTTCAGTGATGCAAGGCCATCTGATTGTATTACACTGTATTCAAATCGCTCTTGATTTTACAGAAACTGTGTTGTAAGGTACAGCCTTTTGCTGTAAATCTTAAAAGGCTGTAATGAGGCCAGAATGAGTTGCACCCATTGTGTGCTGTTTTCTTTCAGATCTTTATCAAACAGAACAGGAATCTTAGATACTTCTTTTCCTGTGATGTTACACCACTAGTACAGAAATATACTCTAACATTTAGTCCATAAGAAGATACATGCTTTTAAAGGGAGCTTTCCATATTCCAGTCCTGTTCAGATAAATTACTTTAGCACTATTCAACTCCCTGATCTGGTATATGGTCCAAAAATTTATGGATTAATTGGATTATATACTGGGTCAAGCCTGCCATATTGTGATCCCTAAACAGCAATTAAATTACCTATGGGATTTTTTACTTAAAATCAGGAGATCTTCAAATTACATCAAATAACTAACAGTTGACATGACTGACAGAGCTTTCAAATGCTTGCCTATTGGTGTGACAGAATCATCAAAAAGAACAATTCAAAAAGAGAGAAATTAAAAAACACCTACATTACTAGAAATCACTATTCTCTGTGTCAAAGGCACTGAAGCATCAGCTTGTGCTCTACATCTCAGTTCAAAAGTAAAATATTCATCTGTGTTTCTGTTCTATTTGCAAGTGACTAGGCACTCTGCAATACAGCTCAAGACAAAGTCAGTTGTTTGGAATTACTACATAGAAGTGCTTATAATTGGAAGAATGGAACTCTAGTATAAACATGGATCTTCTTTTTAGAATCAGAACATTAGCATGCATTGATCAACTACTAGTTAAGAGAAGTATTTTAGACTTATGTTGTAAAGAAATTATTTAAAAATATAAAAAGAAAGTCACAAACAACAGAGGAAAGAATTTTCACTTGCCTTCGTGGGCATAAACACAACTGTAAAACTGTGTTAGGTTAAAACTTTTCATCACTGTAATTTACAACATCAAGGGAAATATGTTTATCTCTGCACCATTTTCAAGCACATCATCAAAACATATCACATGGAGTTTAGTTTTAAAACCATAAGAAAAACAAAATTCATCAACCTACAAATATTTTAACAACTTCTAAATGCATCCCTCAGCAGCTTTTCAGGGTAGTACAGACTGCACCCACTTATTTGTAATAGCTGTTGTCCTATCTTATTAGCAATGAAATGCATCAATTTTGGAGGATTTGACCGTTGCTGTTGGCTTTTGTCACAGCATATCCTATTGGTCAGTCCTGCTTCCTGTCTGTCCTCAAGACAAATGAACCACCAAGACTGGAATAGCTGCTAGCACAATTCGATACGTCCAGTTGATTGCTCAGTAATTTTTTATCCTCTTGATGGATTGTGGAGATCAGGGGAAAAGGTTTTGTACTTCTTTTGTGAAATGGGTCAAATGTCCATTCAACACTCTACACATCTTCAGTTTTAATTGAGATTGTTTCTTCATTTGGTTGACAGTTCCCATTCTGTTGTTGTTCAATTTCTTCGGCAATGGTTGTCTCCTCTTTCTCCACTGCTTTAGTGATTTCAGATTTCTGATTCTCTTTACTGAGATCTTTATCCTTTGTAAATAAAGAAAAATACTTAAAGTCGAGAAATAAAAAATACACATCAGATTCATTTAATTTATCTGATTTTTGAGGGCGTGCATATTCCCTCTCATGCACTCCAAAATCTGAATTTTAAAACATTTTTCTCATATTAACTACAAATGTAAGAAAAGTCTGGCCCTCGAACCTTATTATTGATTTTAATTTATACATTGTTTAAAAATTGGCCATCTGAACAGAATCAGCATGGTGTACAGATTAAGATGTTGGTCTAGGAGTGGGCAGCCCCAGATTCAAGCCCATCTGTAACCATGGAAAGTCACTGGGCGACTTTGGCCCAGTCACTTCCTCTCAGCCCAACCTACTTCACAGGGTATATTGTTAAGAGGATAAAAATGCAAAACAACCCCCATGTAAGCCATATGGACCACTGGGAGGAAAGACAAGATATAAATCTAACAAATAAATACATCTGAAACTGAAACCTCTGAAATAATTACTTATTTTAAATGGCAACTTTTTAATGAAATTCACAATGCGTTACATCATACTATTGCTATTAGCACTGCAACATTTTAATTTCTTCTATTCCTATGGTAATCATTAGCCAGCCCCTCTAGCACCTGCTGCAAAGAATGTGGGATTACCTTCCACCAAATGTAAGATCCATACCCTAGGAAAGCTTTTTAGACTGAGGGGCCCTACTCACAGTCACTCATGCCCTAGTCTCCTCCCCACTGGACAACTGTAATGTGCTCTACATGGGACTGCCCTTGAAGAGTATCTGAAACTTCAGCTGGTGCAAAAATGCAGCGACGCGGGCAGTTATGTTTCTGGTAGAACACGTTACACCTCTGCTCCACAAGCTGCACTGGTTACCAGTTTGTTTCCAGGTTCAATTCAAGTTGCTGATTTTGACCTTTAAAGCCCTACATGGCATGGGACTGGATTATTATTATTATCTGTGTATCCCAGCAGATCCAGCAGAGAGGGCATGCTACAGGTTCCGTCGCCTAGGGAGCTACATTTGGTGGGCCATGGGTGGCGGGCCTTTTCTGCTGCGGTGCATAGTTTTTAAAATACACATTAAGGACTGAGGCAAGGATGAGATACAATAAACCTGGCTGCTTGGAGTTATGATACTATATTTATGTTAGATTTGTATTGATAGCATTTGTTATACCTAATAATTTTAATAATTTAGTTATTGTATATTAATTGTATGTATAATTTTCATGATTTTTATTTATTGTATTATATATATTGTATGTTATCTTGTAAGCTGCTTAGACTGGTATGACTGAAGTGGCACAGAAGCATATGCATTAAGAAAACTGGAAAAGATAAACTAGGTCAAAGTTTGTTGGCTGATGTTCTGAAGCAAGAACACATATTGGAGGATCCAAGAGCTCCTAGTCATGCGTTCCTTTAAGACACTGATAAACTGTAAAGATTCTAATTAAAAAGATATGCATCAAGGGCTAACATTAGGCTTAGTAACTTTGCCAGGTAGACAAGTGTAGTGTCAGGACTAAGACCATAGGGTGAAAGGTTGAAGTTCTCTGCGTTTACACATCTGGGCTCACTCTCCTGCCTTGGTGTAGTTGTTTGGTAATTACTCCTGCTACTATCTAACTTCTAGGGAGATGCCCTTACCTGGCGCCCTCTCTCAATCCTAGTGCGTGAGACAGATAGGATCTCATAGCCTCTTTGCCTTAAAGGTAAACCCAAGGAAAATACAAAAATGAAATAATTAGTCTACCGCCTAGGCACGAGGGGTGTGACTAGGGAATCAGCCTCTCCCCACCTTTGGAAGTAAGATCACTCTCAAAATATAGAAAAAAGTATATTTTCTCTTTATCTATCTTTATGTTTAAGGTTTCTTTTTAACTTTAGGTAGTCACATCAGTGCCAGAAGAAATAAAAACACAAAGCTGTTCAAAACATAGGCAGCATCTGAAAAGGATCTCCCAGAGAAAAGTTAAAATTCTGAGAATACAGATAGTTTTCACTTAACAACTGTTCATTTAATGATGGTTCAAAGTTACAACAGCCTTGGAAAAAGTGCTTTACGACCTGTACTTGCACAAACCATTGCACCCCCTGCGGTCATGTGATTGTAATTTGCAACCTTTTTTACAACAGTTGTTGTAAAAATCACCACGGTTGTTAAGTGAATTCTGGCAAAAAAGTCCATTGGGGAAGCTGGATTCACTTAACAATCACATGATTTCCTTAATGACTACAGTGATTTGCTTAATGGCCATCGTAAAATGGTCATAAAATTGGGTCCGGTTATGTGGTGACTCGCTTAATGACAACCCTGCTTAAGGTCCAATTTCCTGGCCCCTATTGTGGTTGTTAAGCAAGGGCTATCTGTAACATCAGATGGTACGAGTCTATTATCTAAGGCACTCAATCACTGACCTTATAGAAACAGGGAATAAATTAGATCAATGAAAATTAATATTATGGAAAACAGCTAGAAATTTTTACTTATTCCTTCCTGAGGATTCCCAGCTTGACTTCCCACTTTTCATTTCAAAAGCTAAAGGAGCATTTTCTATCAACCCGCAAAGAAAGGGTTTGAGAAATCTTTCCGTGTACGTACTAAGGACAGCAGCTTCCCCTTGTAGAAGCAGAGTCAACAGATACCATCTGGCTGCTGTTTCCACTAAAGAGGACTGGGAGGCTTGCCAGCCCATTCACTACAACTAGATTAGCTATAAAGCCATTTACATTGCTATTCAATCCATGTATGTCCTTCTTCTTGTAGAAAGACTACTCAAAATAGTTTGTAACATACATATATTATTCAGTTTATTACTGGTTTACTCCCTCTTCTGCAATTAAAAAAGGTTGTCTTTCCTTCCCACTGGGAACAACATTCTACAGAGAGAACCCTCCTGAGTAGGCCTCAAAGGAATAAAATTAAACACCACAAATTTTGTCCTCCCACACCAAACTATTAGAGTTCGATTATTTTTAAAAAGGAATGTGATATTTATGACTTATTTTTCTTGCCTGTGGTGATTGAAATTCTTAGAAGTATTTTAGAATTTTTCAGTAATAAACAAAAGTACAGGAGGTATCTAGAGAACCAATGAAAGGCAGCAGACAAAACAGTGAAGTCTTCCTAAAATATTCCATAACTATTTTATTTACTTGTTCACAATGGCTTACCTTCACAGTTGTGGCTTTATCTGATTTCTCTTTGACCTCTTTGTCTTTACTACTCTTTTTCTTTGAGGTAGACCTCTCCCTTTCTCTTCGATCATTACTTACATCTCTCTCCTTCTCTGTCTTTTTGTCTTTCTTGTTTCTGTTTTGGAAGAAAAATTATGCACACACTGATGTAAATCGGATGGTTCATTTTATGCCCACAGATACTTTCATAAGAATCCATGAAAGACCAATCAGCAAGGTCTCACATTCTCAAACAATATTAAATGCATGTCAAGTAACATGGGAACAAGACCACAGTATTAAATATATTCATGTGATAGCCAAAGTAAGGTTTCTTTTAGCAGTTTCTCCTAAACACTTACATAAAAGGTGGGCAAGCTAATGATGTAGTAACATTTTAAAATGTTCTTACTAGCTTAATTCTCAGCCATATTTCTTCCAGTTATATGGAATATATATAATTTACAGAAAAACACCAGAACCTTAGATCCCATACACACAGAAAGTGTAAATTGTTGAAATGCTTTCTAACATAAGGTCTTTTGAAGAATAAAATACAAGGTGTAACTAAAGTAAAGTTAGCATAAAGCACTGAACATAAATTGATTCAAAGAAAATTCCACTAAATTAAGCATGTGTAGGATTTCAGTCTAAGCTATAAATCAAAAGCTCCCAGTTCAGATCTATATTCTGCATAACTAATACTTTGCTTCAGGTACAAGAGCACATGGGCTGTAGTTGAAATGGGGACTAACAGAAGGACTAACAGAGGCTATTTTCATATCAAATCCAAAACAGTGAATAGTCCTTGGGGTTCATTTGGATGTATGTGGAACACAAAACCTAGAGAAAGTTAATGTATTTTTTTAAAGAAAAGAGTAGAAGGAATGATTTCTTGAAAAATAAACCTGAACTCATCAAAACTGACATTCCTATTATAACTACATTTTCATTTTTTGATTGAGTGAGTGACTCATTTTAAAGACATTGAGTAATACTGAAATGACGATTTTTTAGCACAATCCAAATTAGAAGTAATCTGGAAAAAATTAGATTTAACTCAAATATATGGATAAAAATAATCACCAGATATTCTCCAAGTTGGCAGATAAAGAAACTAACTTTATAGTCAGCCTCCCAATTAATTAAGACTAAATAAATAATTGCGATGAATAATTTATACTGCTCAACAAAGAATATCTAGCAATAGAAAAATAGTTTTACACATGGCAAATTATATTTAGCATTTTATTTTTCAAAAAATTGCATCTTAGTTCTTTTCCTAATAAAATCATTTAAGTCTGTAATAAAATCATTTAAGTAACTGTATGCCGCCTTCATAGATTTGAAGGCAGCCTTCGATTCAATATCCAGAGATAGACTGTGGGAGAAGCTGGAAGTGACATCAATCGTCCTCAGACTCCTCCATATGATTCGTGCCCTATATACCAACACAACCCTCAGGATCAGGTGCGACAGACAAGGGGCTCTCTCAAAGCCGATAAGAGTTCCAAAGGGGGTGAGACAGGGGTGTATTTTGGCTCCCCTACTCTTCAATTTTTAATATTAATAATCTGGTGAATTGCCTCGATAAGCCAGAATTCCATCCCCCCAAAGTAGGAGAATGCAGAATCGCTACGCTACTCTATGCTGATGATGCAGTTGTTCTGTCTAGAACCCCGACAGGACTTAAAAGAGCTTTGACATCCTTGGCTTGCTATTGTGATAGCGAAAAGCTCGAAATAAACTATCAGAAAACCAAGATAATAGTTTGCGCAAAAAGACCGAAAAGTATTTCATGGAACATCCAGGACCACAAAATAGAGCAAGTAGCTAGTTTTAAGTACTTAGGCATAGTTGTTCATGCTACAGGCTCGAGGACAACGCACTGCGAATACGCTGCAGCCATTGGACAATAATCAGCTAACGCTATTCTAAAATTCTCCAGATCTAAGGGGGGATCCTATGTTCCAGCAGCACTAAAATTATTCTGGGCCAAGTCATTAGTGCAACTCCTCTATGGGACCTTATTGGGTCCCTCCTCTTCCTTTTTCACACCACAGGAAAAAGTGCAAGCCAAATTTATTAGAGCGCTTCTTCAGATGCCTAGATGCGTGTCAAATGCTCATCTCCGACTTGAAACTGGTATGATTAGGGTTGCAGGTAGAGTGTGTTTAGCCTCTCTAACCCTTTGGTTAAAGTTTAAATTGCACCTTATACCTTGTATCTTTCAAGATAATTTCCAGTCGTCATGGATTAAGGCCATTCACGCAAATCTTCTAAAATTACGATATTCTCAAGATACTCTCCTGGAAATGGATTTTAATCGAGCGAAACAAGAATTAAAACAAAGAATAAAGGATATTGAGAGACAAGAAGATATTGGAAAGACACCACTCTTCCTGTCTCCTCCATTTAAAAAATACACAGTTTCGGTCGCTAGTTATCTTGACCACCTTGAAATTACCTGCCATCGGAGAGCTTTCTCCTTAGCACGCTGCCATGCCCTCCCTTCTGCTGTCTTGGAGAGAAGGTATAAAAAAATTCCACTGGCCGCTAGACTATGTCCATGTGATTCAAGGGAGGTTGAATCTATAGAACACGTCCTCCCGCATTGCGCCTTTTACGAAGACCCCCGTGCTAAATTTATTACGCCATGGATTGCTAAACATCCTGGACGTACAGATCATGAGCACATGCAATTGCTGTTCATAGATGAACACCCTACAGCAGGGGTCCTCAAACTTTTTAAACAGGGGGCCAGTTCACAGTCCCTCAGAATGCTGGGGGGCTGGACTATCTATCTATTTATTTATTTGTTCAACTTGTTTGCTGCCCATCTCCCCTAACAGGTGACTCTGGGCGGCTCACAATAATAGTTTGAAAAACACATGAATGAATTCTTATGCACACTGCACATATT